TGGGTGATAGAGAGAGACACTTCTCCCCTTACAGGTGGCTGCGTCTACACTGGGATGATTTCCCGCCAATGCGTTGAATGGAAAAGTTTTTCCCGTCAAAGCGTTTGCGGAAAAGCGCGTCTAGAGGGGCACGGAGGCTTTTCTGCAAAAGCACTTTCTGCGGAAAAGCGTCCGTGGCCAATCTAGACGCGCTTTTTCGCAAAAAAAGCCATTTTCGCAATCGGGGCTTTTTTTGCAGAAAACAAATCTGAGCTGTCTACACTGGCCCTTTGGCGCAAAAGCTTTGCGCGAAAGGATTTTTGCCCGCTCAACAAGCGCAGCTCCCCTTTTCTTTGCACGGCCACCCACTTTGCTAAATGACAAACCACACCGCTGTGTCTAGACTGGCAAGTTTTTCCGCAAAAGCAATTGCTTTTGCGGAAAAACTTGCCAGTCTAGACACAGCGGTGTGGTTTGTCATTTAGCAAAGTGGGTGGCCGTGCAAAGAAAAGGGGAGCTGCGCTTGTTGAGCTGACTTTGCTGTCTCACACGTGTGGCTGACCACCTGTGCTATTGAAAGCAAGACATCTGTGTAAAAACATCATTTTTAAGGACGTAATTGTTTTAGTGATAGAGATGCAGCTGTGTTAGTCTGGTCTAGCTAAAACAAAAGACAGAGCTATGTAGCACTTTAAAGACCAACAAGATGGTTTATTAGGTGATGAGTTGTTGTGGGCCAGACCCACTTCCTCAGATCAATTTGCGGAAGAAAATTGGCATTACCATATATACCAAACTTTGGTATATGTGGTCGTGCCAATTTTCTTCCGCAAATTGATCTGAGGAACTGGGTCTAGCCCACGAAAGCTCATCACCTAATAAACCATCTTGTTAGACAGAACTATGTCGCACTTTAAAGACTTTTATAATTGTTTTAGAGAACTGTGCATGGTGAGCCAAGTATGAACGCAAATACTGTAACTGAAAGATGAGTGAAAACATTCTCTTTGTCTTTTTACAGTTTGTTTGCTTTGTGCAGTTGGCAGTTAGGTGTGTAGCAAATTTCACCATGTCCCTTTATAATAAGTTAAACACAGATAGACTTGATAGTGTTTTTTGACAGGAAAACAAGCCTTGTAGAGGGGGCGAGCTGTAGATGTGGTATTCAGGACAGTATGAAAAGCTTTATTGCATGACTTTCTCATAAACAAAGTAGGGAAATGCACCCTAGTTGGTGCTATTATAAGATGGGTGCAAAAACTGACTGGAAAACCATTCCTATAGAATAGTTATCGCAGGTTCACAGTCATGTTGGAGAGACGTGAGTGTGGTCCTGCAGGAATCAGTTTTGGGGCTGGTTCTGTTTAAGATCTTTATCAGTGATTTAGATAATGATACAGTACTCTTATAATGTAACCCCTCCCACCATTGTATCTTTAGTAAACAAGTGCTTTAGAAGACTGGATTAAAATTGAAAATAATGTGGAGATATAATTTGAGGTCAATGGGGTTAAATTCAATAGGGCCAAATGCAAAGTACTTCATTTAGGCAAAAGGAGTGGTTATCTGGCTACTTATGCAGTCAATACAATTTGTGTCAACTACATGATTAGTTTGTAAGGGAAGCTGCTTTGCAGAGCAAGGGTAGCTCCTGCAGCTGATGCAAACCAGGACTGCTGCGGCTCTGCATTTTAAATGTGAGCCCAGAGGCTCTTACTACATTTACAGAGATGGAACTCTCTCCCCAGCTGCTGTGAGCAGAGGTTGCTCGGCAGGGAGGGGGAGGAAAGAGTAGTTGAGTACTGGACTTCACTACGGATAAGGTACTTGATTACTAGCTTACATCCCTATTTAGGCAGGAATAATCAGTTTCGCACACAGAAAAGGGGAAATTGCTGCCTAGGAAGGAGTACTTTGGAAAAGGGTGTGGGGGGGGGGGGGGGGGGTGGGGGGCGGTGTGTGTGTGTGTGTGTGTGTGCCACAAGCTAAACATGAGTCAGCAATGTAGCACTGTTGCAAAAAAAAAAAAAGCAACTCTCATTCTGGGATATACTAACAGGAGTGTTGTAAGCAAGACACAAGAAGTAATTCTTCTACTCTACTCTGTACTGATTAGGCCTCAGATGGCATGTCGTGTCCAACTCTGGGCATCACATTTCAGGAAAGATGTGGACAAATTGGAGGAGGTCCAGAGAAGTGTAACAAACTAGTATGACCTATTAGGGAGGATTGGAAAAATTGGGTCTGAGTCTGTAGAACAGCCGAGCTGCATGCGGCTCTTACCCCTCTGAGTGTGGCATGTGAAGCCCCCCCTGAGCCCTTGAAAACAGCTCTCTCCTCCCAGCTCCCTATGCTCACCTGGGCAGGGGAGCCATCCAGTGCGGCCATTAAAGCTGGAGTATTAAAGATGGCGTCAGCTGGCAGGAGCCTGTTGTGGCCAAAAAGCCTGTAAATCACTTTTCTTAAAGGGACAGGCCTTTTTTTCTCCCCTCGACAACTTTGCCCCGGCTCTTTGCGCTGAACCCACTGATATCTTGTCTTTTTGCCCAGAATGGGTTGGACACCCTTGGGCTACGTCTAGACTAGCATGATTTTCCGGAAATGCTTTTAACGGAAAAATTTTCCATGAGTCCCAGATTTAAGAGGTTCAACCTGTACAAAAATCTCTGTGCATTTTCAGTTAGAGGATTGGAGCCCATCTCAGTTTCCACTCTTGCTGAAATGAGTATCTTTCGGTTCCCTTTACAAAACTTCTACAGAGCATTAGGCAGAGACATTTCACAGAAGGCTTGTAGGGTGTGCTTTTTAAGGGATTTATGTGAAGAGCTCTAGTATGTACTACCTAACAGCTACTCTGTTAGAAACAACATTTTTTTTTTTAAATTAACTGCCAGATAAATTCAAATACTTAGTGCCAAGTGGGAAGGCTTGGTGAAACTTCTGTTCAGAAGTCCAAACATCTGTATAGCCATGCACCTAATAGCATGTGTTTTGATTTAGGGTGTGAAAAGTTAATTGGTAAGCACCACCCTTAATGGATGATGCTTACTGGTTTCAGTGAGCCAGTGGGGGCTGGAGCAGCTCCCTGCAGGATGTGGGTGGGGCTCGCTACGGTCAGGGATTGCTCTAGCCTGGCTGGAGCAACCTCTGTCAGTGGCAGACCTGGGGGGGCCCACTTTAATTGATTAACTGGTTAAACAGTACTTATTACTGGTTAACTAATTCAATGGGATTTTACCTCCCTAGATCTTCATCCAACAACATACTGCATCATACAACTCCATTTAACAGAACTTGTTCTGTAACAACTTCTCCTGTCACACAGTTTCACGTTAACGTGGTCCTTTTTCCACAGGGACTCTGAGTTTGTGTATTTACACACAAAATAAATTCAGTTAATACATCTACTTTCCACAGCGATGCAAGAATTATTTTAATCAGAAATCATTGACTTTGATTGGTAGACAGATACAATCTTATTCTTGTTTGTGCTTGATGATTGTGCAACATGCCCTTGGTTGTATTAATTGTAGAGACTCACCATTTAAGTTATGGTGTTGTGAAATAGTTCTGTAAAATGCTAATGACTAGCAAATATTAACTTAACGGTCAGAATTATGCACCACTCTGACATGGAATCTTGAGGCATTAGAGACTCCACACACAGACACGCGCGCGCAAACCCTGTATTGTAAGCAAAGGTATTGCATGACTAAATGGAAATTAATCAGGATTCTAGTATGGGGGTGGGAATCATATGGGAATATTCTGAGGGTTTTTAAAGAAAACAACTTTTTTTTTAAAAGGTTAGACATCAATATGCGAAACTTATAAAGTTGCTGTTTCAGCTGCGGTATAACATTGAATAATACTCAAATTTTAGTAAAAGTATCCTATAGACTTGGAAATTACCAGCGATAAACTTAACAAGAGTCTAGGAGTTTAAAGGGCCCAGCTTTGAAAAATGAACTTGAATGGTATAAGAGTGTTATCGCTACACTCAACGATATAGCCCTGCTTTTTATATCTGTAGACCATGTTTGATGATGTGGATGGAAGTGTATCCAAATTTTGTATCCCTATAGGGCTCTACAAATGAAGCCAATATTAATGGCTATGTGCATTAATGATTAGCAAAACGTCTGTCCCTGTCAACTTTCCCATCTTGTCCTATACCAAGGGGTGCATCTACACTGCATTGTAACTTGAAATAAGATACGCAGTTTGAGTATCTTATTTCGGTGCTGTTTCAAAATAGCTTTTGTCATTTGGTGCTATCTATACAGTCCCCAGCTGACCCTGGGCTCCATGCAGCACTGCCACTTTGAAACGCTGTGGGGAGCCTGGTGTCAGGTCCATGCGGTGTTCCAACGTGGCAGCGCCATGTGGAGCCTGAGTTCAGCTAGGGACTAGTTGGCTAGTTGTTCACATCGCTAATGGGAGATACAGGTGCTTAGCAATCCTGGAAATCAGGTCTGAGATATCTAAAGTAGGACATCCAAAATTAAAGCTTTATGAAAATCTGAGCCTGAGACTCACTTCTTCCCTTATGTAACTGTAAAACAGATTCATGTCTGATTCACAAGGTGTTGAAAGGCTCAGTTCAGTAATATTTGTGAGGCCATAAAAAAGGCAGAGAGAAATTCTGGAAACACAAGGTTATTAACCTGTTTTTTGTATTTTTTTGTTTGTTTTTAGCACAGCAGAATGGAGTACGCCACTGTTGTTATTCAGCCACACGGAAAAATCTTAATATCGATAAAAATACAAAGGTTATTTGCCAAGGTTTTACTGGTAAACAGGTATGTAACTTTGGTATAGATGAAATACTTGATATAGTCTTCTTGAAACTCAACAAATTGAGCAGCCACAAGATTTAACATGTGTTCTGAATTTTTGGTTTAATTCAGTGTGTATATAAGTCCTTCTAGTACAGGACTGGGCAAGAGACTGTCAGCAGGCTGGATCTCTGGGGCTGCTGGGGATCCGAGGCCACTGCTAGCCCCTCGCTACCACTTGGCAGCAGGGTCCAGAACTCCCTGTTGTGCCCCTACTCCCCTCAACACAGGGCTCCTGGCCTGCAGCCCAACCTCTTTATAACTGGATTCTGTGGTCCAGGAACATCCATGGTCCTGCCGGACCATAGAGTCCCGGTTAAGGGAGGTACAACCTGTATTTAAAGGGGTTGTGCCTGCTAATATGCTGCCAGGCAAGGTGGTAGCAGCCACCTGGCAGGCGCAAGCCCTTTAAATAAAGGCATTTGAGTGGGCTCGTGGCCTTCCCAGCAGCTCCCTGGCAATACATTAGGGGGCCAGGAGCTGCAAGCCCTTTCAACTGCCATTCCTGTGAACCCTTTAAATAGAAGCAGTTGAAAGAGCTTGCAGCTCCTGCCCCCACCCTCCCCCCAATGTGTTGACAGGGAGTTGCTGCAAAATTATTGCCCACCCCGTTCTAGCAAATCAGACTTTATATCACTGTTTCCATTAATTATTTAGCCTTGTCACCACATCCAGGATAAGGTATTACTTTTCTCACAGAATGTTTTAAATGAATGTATTCTTTGTAGAAAAATCTTTCCTGTTTGCCTCTGATTTTTTTTTCTGCTGAATTATCTTCTGTATAATAGGAAATATTCTTCATTGCAGAAGCAATTTGTTTCAAATTGGGTTGCTGCACTCAAAACCATATAGTGTGTGTAATTCTGCAACTGTCTGACACTACTGACTTTCATCTTTACTTTGTTTAGAACTGGTCTTTCATGTTATATGTTAATTGGAGCCTTGTGTCCTGTGAATAAGAGGTTGCCTTTCACAGTCACTTCATTCTTTGTATTTTCAAGTTCTGACAGCAAGCTGGAATCCCACTGTTTCTAATCCAGTTTATGCTCAAATTTAGCAATTGGGCTTTTTAGTGTCTCTGGTTAGTGTCTGTTCATTCAGATGCTGTATCACTGAGCCAGTGCTGTTTGTTTTAAATTTAGAGTTTATTTTCCACAAGGAATCTATATAATTCTTGTTGCTATCTTAATTCATTGAATCCTTTTTTTACATTCTCTTGATGTTATTCATTTGAGTGAGGAAAAACCTGCATTAGATAGCAGAGGCGTGTTACTATGACTTTGTAGTAGTTGCCAATATTATAGAATCATAGAATTGATTTGACTTCTTGTACTTTATTATCATCTTTGTGATCTGTTAAAGCTGATTTAGAATATAAAATGTAGTCCTCTGCTATGCTGTCTGAAAACATATTGGCAGGGGAGAACCAACTTAACTATCTTGGGGGGAGGGGTGTGTGTGTGTGTGTGTGTGTGTGTGTGTGTGTGCGTGAGAGATGTATTAAAAAGTCGGTGTATTCTGAAAGTCGTTTAAAACTTTAGCATGCAATGTAGAATAGCTGTGGATTATATCCATGTGATCACATTATAGTGCTCTTGGGAGAGTTCTGCATCGCTGCATGCATGCAGAATTCATGCTTCTCAGAAAATGATGGGGAAGCAAAGGGCAGGTGAAGGGGGAAGGGAGGGAAGCTCATAGGTGTAGTTTTTTGTGAGGCATTGCCCACTTAAGTAGGCAAATGGGGAGCCCCCCCCCCCCCCCTTCCATTTCTGTGAGCACAGAGCTGCCCAGCTGAAAAAGTTACCACTTGAATGCTGCCTCCTGGGTCCTAGTGCCAGTTCTGTTTTCTGGGAATCCTCATTTTCTCTGTACAGTAGTGAGTGCCAGCCTGGCAAATGTGAGAAGGAGGATGGGGCATGAGTAAGGTGTTGTGGGAGTGAAAGAAGGGTGATAGGGACAAAAGACACTGGGAAGAGAAAAGGGGAGGTGATGGGGAATTGGAGGGAAGAGAGCTTGGTATGCTGTGTCCCCTTGGTGGCTGCAGCTGGGACTCCCTCTTTTAAGAAGGCCCACATCTGGATCTCCCCGCACTGAACCCCTCTAGACATGAATCCTGCTGGGCAGAGCCTTACTGCCTGCCCACTCGCCCACCCCGATGCAGAGGGACAGAGCCCATGGGTGCTTCTGGAGCAGGTCCAGCCCTTGTCCTGGGTCAGGGTTGGGTACAGCGTCATTGCCAAGTTCATTGAGGGGATGTGGGGCAGGGCTGCAGAGTCATCTCCAACTTCCAGCCAGTGGTCTGAGTTCCCCAATACCATGTGGAGCTTTCTCGTTTATTTATTGAGAACTAAACTTAGCAGAATTTGTGTTTATTTTTGGTACAGAATTTCTTCAGGAGTAATTATATATAATATCTATTGCACAAATGACTTTTAATTATATCTTTACTTTCCATGTGAATATCCAGAATTATTTTTTTCCATTTACAGTATAATATATTTTTGTTTGAATTCTCAATGAAAATGTATATAGATCTTGCTTGTGCATCAGCTATTTTGCCATTTATACATTTTCGGTAAGAGTTTATGTCCAGAGTTTTGGGCCCTTTAATTTGTGGATTTTTGTGTGTGTGTCTTACAATTCACTTTGTAATGCCTCTGTGTGGTAATTTAATTCCTTTAATTTAACAAAACTAAACTTCAAAGGGTAGAGAATGCTGTGGGCAAACGACTACCTTTCTCCAGAAAGTGAGATCATATCTCTGTTGTTGTCAATTGTTTTTTCCTGATATGTCGGTTTCCTTTTGACTTTTGGATCTCTCCAAGAATTTACTTTAATCTATCCTCTGTGGTCACTACCCTTTCCATCCACGTGCTTGTCTATTGTTTATTCACTTGTGCTGCCTCATTTATTCAGAAATTTCACCTCTTCATTTCTCCCATCTCTTGTAAATCTCACCCCAAACTTTTATTTTTTTTTCAGTTTACTACTAATATAGTTGCTTTGATTTTGATATAGATTATATAAACACATGAACATGTGTTGGTACTCTAACAGTTTTGATAGTGGATATTGAGTTTCCTTTTTAAAACAATATTTTGCTTTAGAATGTCATATCCTGAACTGTAATAAGCTTGCTGCAGTCAGCATATACTGAAATGATCCTTTTACATGGCCTACATAAAATTTATAGTTTACATTTTTTTCTGAGTTTGACTCGTGTCTAATTTACTTTTTGATCTTAATTACAGTTCCATAATTTGCATTCTGTGAGGGAGACCCCATGGAAGCATTTTTAAATGTTTTATTTGAATGTATATAAAAGTGTTTTCTAGCTTACATCTAATGAAGTTACCTGTGTATCTCTTATAGGGCACCTTTCATAGCCAGCAGGCATTAGAATATGGCACCAACCTAGTAGGTGGAGTTTCTCCAGGGAAGGGAGGCAAAACTCATCTGGGCCTGCCAGTCTTTAACTCCGTTAAAGAGGTAATTTTATAGTTGTGGATGGACTACTAGACAGTAAAGTTTGGGGTGGGAGGATTGTAAAATTAAATGTTAGAATTTGTCTAGCATCCAGAATTAAAGAGGTACAAAATCTGAGAGTGGAGTCATGATTACATTTCTGGTTTAAAAACGTGAGAAACAAAACCAAGATGGTTTGTCACCAGTGTCCCTATAATAGAGGGCACAACCAATGAATCAAATTCAAGTTTCTATTTTTAAGTGCCCTTTGTTTCATTTGCCCATATAAAATAAAGATCTAGATGTCATTTGGTGTCAACTTACCTTTATTGTATAGTGAGCATTTACATATTATTCGTGATTTTTAGCTCATGATAAATAGATCAGTCAATAAATGAACTGAAAAGGACACTTCCCTGTATGTGGTATAAATTCCTTGGGAGATGAGCCTATTTTAGGAATCCCTTCTGCAGCTATTCCATTTATATCTCTTGTTAACCTGAGTTTAATTGCTGAGCACAGAACTGCTGTAGCCATAGACTTTGAAACTTCTAATTTATTTTGTTCTAAATCTTTAAATAGATCTATTTAACAAGTTAGTTGTCCAATGTACTCTTGAGATTTAGTGAATGTTTAATATGCTTTTTGTTAATACATGTTTCAGGCGAAAGAACAAACAGGTGCCACCGCCTCGGTTATATATGTGCCTCCTCCATTTGCTGCTGCTGCAATTAACGAAGCTCTTGATGCAGAAATGCCCTTAGTTGTGTGCATTACAGAAGGTATTCCGCAGCAGGATATGGTTCGGGTTAAACACAGACTGATCCGTCAAGATAAGACTCGACTAGTGGGCCCAAATTGTCCTGGAGTCATCCATGTGAGTTTTTCAAATGAACATTGGCTTGGAGACTAAACCCTCTCTAGTGATTTTTCAAAATTATGTTCACTGTGATTTTTTTAAAGTACTTGATATTTCTACTATTTTAGCCTGGAGAATGCAAAATTGGTATCATGCCAGGCCACATTCACAAGAAAGGAAGAATTGGTAAGTTTTTTGCATATTCATGCATCAGCCAAAGCTGAAATATGTTGCTTTATCACTTCATGTCTTGATGTATAACTAAGCAACACATCTCTATCTATTAAAGAAAGCTTTTCCTGCAGGCCGATGTACAGCATATCATGTCATTGTACATCGCCCTCCCCCCCAGTCTCAACAGAGTCCCCAGAAGGGGAAGAGATGGCCATGGCTGAGGGTTCTCCTCCCCCCTTCAGGGACACCTTGGGCTCCCCACTCACCCCTGGCTCCCCTGAAGGAGGGCCAAGGAGTTGGCTCCTCACTGTGCTGGGGGCCCTGACGCTCCAGGACCCAGTGGAGAACTGCTGGCTCCAGGTGCACTGGGGCTGCCATGTCTGGAATCCTCTCCTCCCTTCTTCATACCCTCAAGATTAGTGCACCAGCTCTAGGTTCCTTTGGGGGAATCGGGGAGAGAAGAAAAGCCAACTCAGCCCCCTTAGCTCTCCCCTCAGCAGCTCACACACTTCTCTGCAAGCTGCCTCTGGTACAGAGCCTCGGGGTTTTCTCCTCTCCCTGCTCTCCTGCAGGAAGCCAGCGCTGTGCTCTGACCTTGCAGAAGTGGGGGGAGGGTTCTAGGCTGGAGCTCCAGGCACAAGGTGGCCCCAGTGTGCCTGGCCCGAACCGCCAGAGGTTGCCATCCACGTGCTTGTCTATTGTTTATTCACTTGTGCTGCCTCATTTATTCAGAAATTTCACCTCTTCATTTCTCCCATCTCTTGTAAATCTCACCCCAAACTTTTATTTTTTTTTCAGTTTACTACTAATATAGTTGCTTTGATTTTGATATAGATTATATAAACACATGAACATGTGTTGGTACTCTAACAGTTTTGATAGTGGATATTGAGTTTCCTTTTTAAAACAATATTTTGCTTTAGAATGTCATATCCTGAACTGTAATAAGCTTGCTGCAGTCAGCATATACTGAAATGATCCTTTTACATGGCCTACATAAAATTTATAGTTTACATTTTTTTCTGAGTTTGACTCGTGTCTAATTTACTTTTTGATCTTAATTACAGTTCCATAATTTGCATTCTGTGAGGGAGACCCCATGGAAGCATTTTTAAATGTTTTATTTGAATGTATATAAAAGTGTTTTCTAGCTTACATCTAATGAAGTTACCTGTGTATCTCTTATAGGGCACCTTTCATAGCCAGCAGGCATTAGAATATGGCACCAACCTAGTAGGTGGAGTTTCTCCAGGGAAGGGAGGCAAAACTCATCTGGGCCTGCCAGTCTTTAACTCCGTTAAAGAGGTAATTTTATAGTTGTGGATGGACTACTAGACAGTAAAGTTTGGGGTGGGAGGATTGTAAAATTAAATGTTAGAATTTGTCTAGCATCCAGAATTAAAGAGGTACAAAATCTGAGAGTGGAGTCATGATTACATTTCTGGTTTAAAAACGTGAGAAACAAAACCAAGATGGTTTGTCACCAGTGTCCCTATAATAGAGGGCACAACCAATGAATCAAATTCAAGTTTCTATTTTTAAGTGCCCTTTGTTTCATTTGCCCATATAAAATAAAGATCTAGATGTCATTTGGTGTCAACTTACCTTTATTGTATAGTGAGCATTTACATATTATTCGTGATTTTTAGCTCATGATAAATAGATCAGTCAATAAATGAACTGAAAAGGACACTTCCCTGTATGTGGTATAAATTCCTTGGGAGATGAGCCTATTTTAGGAATCCCTTCTGCAGCTATTCCATTTATATCTCTTGTTAACCTGAGTTTAATTGCTGAGCACAGAACTGCTGTAGCCATAGACTTTGAAACTTCTAATTTATTTTGTTCTAAATCTTTAAATAGATCTATTTAACAAGTTAGTTGTCCAATGTACTCTTGAGATTTAGTGAATGTTTAATATGCTTTTTGTTAATACATGTTTCAGGCGAAAGAACAAACAGGTGCCACCGCCTCGGTTATATATGTGCCTCCTCCATTTGCTGCTGCTGCAATTAACGAAGCTCTTGATGCAGAAATGCCCTTAGTTGTGTGCATTACAGAAGGTATTCCGCAGCAGGATATGGTTCGGGTTAAACACAGACTGATCCGTCAAGATAAGACTCGACTAGTGGGCCCAAATTGTCCTGGAGTCATCCATGTGAGTTTTTCAAATGAACATTGGCTTGGAGACTAAACCCTCTCTAGTGATTTTTCAAAATTATGTTCACTGTGATTTTTTTAAAGTACTTGATATTTCTACTATTTTAGCCTGGAGAATGCAAAATTGGTATCATGCCAGGCCACATTCACAAGAAAGGAAGAATTGGTAAGTTTTTTGCATATTCATGCATCAGCCAAAGCTGAAATATGTTGCTTTATCACTTCATGTCTTGATGTATAACTAAGCAACACATCTCTATCTATTAAAGAAAGCTTTTCCTGCAGGCCGATGTACAGCATATCATGTCATTGTACATCGCCCTCCCCCCCAGTCTCAACAGAGTCCCCAGAAGGGGAAGAGATGGCCATGGCTGAGGGTTCTCCTCCCCCCTTCAGGGACACCTTGGGCTCCCCACTCACCCCTGGCTCCCCTGAAGGAGGGCCAAGGAGTTGGCTCCTCACTGTGCTGGGGGCCCTGACGCTCCAGGACCCAGTGGAGAACTGCTGGCTCCAGGTGCACTGGGGCTGCCATGTCTGGAATCCTCTCCTCCCTTCTTCATACCCTCAAGATTAGTGCACCAGCTCTAGGTTCCTTTGGGGGAATCGGGGAGAGAAGAAAAGCCAACTCAGCCCCCTTAGCTCTCCCCTCAGCAGCTCACACACTTCTCTGCAAGCTGCCTCTGGTACAGAGCCTCGGGGTTTTCTCCTCTCCCTGCTCTCCTGCAGGAAGCCAGCGCTGTGCTCTGACCTTGCAGAAGTGGGGGGAGGGTTCTAGGCTGGAGCTCCAGGCACAAGGTGGCCCCAGTGTGCCTGGCCCGAACCGCCAGAGGTTGCGGTTCCCCACTGGGTCCCAGAGCATCAGGGCCCCATCAGCAGCGAGGAGTTGCTGCTGCCACCCCCACTGTCCCTGGTCAGCCCTAGCCCTCTTCCGGCGGCTGGGGAGTATGCTGGGGGGTGGGTGAGAGGCCAGGGCTGGTGCAGCCTCCAGCCCCTGGGGGGGAGGGAGAGGTGGAGAGCCAGATTTGTTTACTCCCTTAGATGGGGGTTGGTGAGCATAGCGAGCAGGGGGCACTGGCCCCTAGTATACAGTGTAACAACTTGTTAGTGACTTTAGCAATGGTCAGAAGAACCAGATTTCCTCAAACATCCTTTCTAATCACTTACTTGTAATACTTCTGGTCAATGTTTGTGCTAAAATAGGGATCTTGATCTCCAAAATAGTCAATGTGAACCACTTTGCTTTCTTAAAAGGAGCTATGCCTATAAAAATCACTGATCTTTTTATCTTGCCAAGAGTGACCTAAGAGGGCGCACAATCTGATCATTTTAAAGAATATTTGAGCATTTTAAAGAACCAAATCCTTAAATGCTTATCTTCTTTCCACTTAGATAAAATTTTCTTCCCTCTTAAAATCCTAACACTGAGTTCCTCTGGGTTTGAAAGAGAACACAGTAAGCTTCACACTGAAAGTTGATTTTTATATGCACCTCTAGACCATGGTGATTAATATCTGATAAATACCTGAATAGGGTACATATTAGGGATGTAAAAAATAAAATCCTAGCAGTTACATATGCTGCAGGCTTTGCAGTATATTGCTGATATATAAGCTTTATACAGATTGAACCTCTGTAGTCCAGCAGCATTCTCAATACTTCCACTAGTTACTGGGCTCTTCAAAGACATTTAGGGTAAGTTAGAGGTAACTAACAGCACAGAACACCACTACAGCCACCAGTCCTGGCTCTCAAACTTTTATGGGGCCCTGGGGAACTTGGCCACACCTATAAGTGGGCATCCAGCTAACTAAAATCATTCCAGACCTTGGATATTGCCAGATCAGAGAGTGCCAGAATAGAGAGGTTCAGCCTGTACTCCAGAGCCTGCAGCGAAGCTGGCTTCCAGAGAGCCAGCATGTAACCTGCAGCAGGCAGCTCCTAGAGTAGCCTCTGCCTGCTGTAGGCTTCACAGGGCTGTAACCACCCCTTCCTGGGGTGGGTGGGATGCTGCGCCAGCCTCTACCGGTTAACCAGAAACAGTAAGCCTCTCATTTAGCGGGAGGCTTACTGATTAACCATTTACATCCCTGATATAAATTTAAGAGAGGGGAATGGAGGATAGACTAATTTTCCCAGCATTACACATGGGGTCAATGACACTGTCAGGAGTCTTGATTTCTATTCCTTTTTTCAAAACATTGGAAACCTTTTATAAGTTAAAGCTATAGCATGCCATATAAGCTAGCCACTATTACACCCAGAGATTTGAGTTTCTACAGGGTATGCTTGGTTTTGATTTCAGAATTGTGTGCCCTCTTAGGTCACTCTTGGCAAGATTTTTATAGATGAGATGGTGCTTCTTAATTGCCAGTTGGGTCATCCTCATTTAAAACCAGAAGGAAAGGAGTGTATGAGTTAGCTGCAAAAGTCTCTTGTGTGGTGTCAGTGCAGTGCGGATCTGAAGGTGAAAGCAGAAGCAAGTATTAGCATTCCTGTCACACCTCTGGTTTCAAAAGTAGCCATAAACCTGGAATTGAAAAATCAAAGAAGAATGCAGTTATGCCCTTTGTAGATACCATCAAACCAATGCTTTAGGGCTATTAAAAGAGTGTATCATCTCAAGTTGTCTTGCATTCCCTTCTGAATCAAAGCTCTTCTAAATGTCTGCAAGAAATGTCAGGTACTCATAAAATGTTTGACAGCAAGAACCCAGGGCAAGACCCATGGAGAATTAAATCTTGCATCTGCATTGTTCACCGCAGGTGGAAACACTGCCAACAGCATTCTAAAAATCCTGCAAGTGCAGTTGTGTGGCTCTCTACTTTCCACCTTTCTCCCTGACTCTGTCCTTTATACTCCTTGGACCTCTTTCATGCTCTCCCCACTCAAACCTCCCTCTCCCTCCTTCTCTGCAATTTCTGAAGGATTTTTGGATCCTTCATCTACTATATATTTTAAGGAGTCCGTCTATCTGTCCATCTATCTCTCTTATTCAAGAACTCCTAAACGGTAAGAGCTAAAACCAATAAATTTGGTATACAGCTTCCTTTTATGATAATCTTAAAGCAAAGAAAGGGTTTGATTGTGCCAGGAAATTGGAATATGCCTGGAATGGGATTGCTGCTCATAAAACCATATAGAAAAGAGACAGAATTACCAGGGAGGTGAAAGGGGCTGGCTGGGGTGAACCTCCCATCCCCCTTGCACCCTTTTATGGAGGGCAGGGGAGACATGAAGCTCATTTCCTCTCTCCCCTTCCCCCCCTCCCATTTGTATGGGAATGTTGCTGGCTGTTCCCCTTAGTCATGGAGCAAGGGGAAAGTACACATTCCTCGCTGTGGCTGGGGAACACAGGGGGCAGACAAACCTGGACTTGCCCCAGCCAGGGGACATGCACACAAACTGCTGCGGTGAGATAAGCCTGGGATAGTCCTCTCTCCCTGTGACAGCTGCATACCCCAGAGCAATGATTTCAATAAAGAAAAACAAAAACTAATTGAGTTAAGGACCTGAGCAGCACCGGGCAAATCTAGCAGTAATATATGTTATAATACTCCAAGGAAATTCAAAATAAAATAAAAGCTGTTTTCTGCTGCCTGATCTCCAGTTGTTTAAAGAATATTTGACCTCCATTAAAAAATTACCTTATTCTTTTAAACTGAGTGAACCTTTTCACTATCTGACAACACGTTTCAAAGAACTAGAATTAGATTAGTAAATAGAAGCATAGGAGTGGAAGGGACTGGGAGCGGTCATATAAACCATTCCCCTGCTCTTATGGCAGAACTAAATGGTAATTAGGCCATCCCTGATGGTGACTGTATAACCTGCTCTTAAAACCTCTAATGATGGAGATTCCACAACTTCCCTGTGCAATTTATTATAGTGCTTACCACCTAACAATTAAGAAATTTTCCCCAAAGTTTAACCTGTATCTTTGTACTATCAGGAGTTAAGGAAAACAATTTTTCTTTCTCCTCTTTGTAACAGCCCTTTATGTCCTTGAAAACTGTTGTCAACAGTGTTCCCTTTAACATTTTCTATCCTTGGGCAGGGTGAAATTTCTTATGTGCAATACCAGTATTGAGGAAGTGTATGGATGTGCACAGCCAAGATTTTAAACAGTCCATAGATATGGAGAAAAACATATTAACAGAAGGGATAGTTAACAAGGAACAATGCTTATGATATTTAATATGAAATCAAATAAAAAAATTAACACTACCCTTGGAGAACATGTATCATCCTTTCCAACAACTCAAGCTAGTAAACACACGAAAATGCATATTATCCACATGCACACAGAGCTCAGCTTTTAAGATGCTAAATAAATCTGAGTCATCTAAAAGTAGTCATCTCGTTGCAAATACTAATACAATAATATGTAATTACACTGGAAAGGAGAGTAAAAGGCATTCACTCCGGTTTATACAGTTTTTCTGGGGAATGCTATACAAGAACAAGTGATGTATAAACTGATCCCTTCAACATCTCATGATCCCTTCAACCCAGCCAGAGAGAACTGCAATCTGGATTATAGCAAGTGAGTTAGGAGGACACTTCCAAAGAAACACCCTCCCCCACTCCTGCCTCCACCTCACTGCACGTATGCCAGCATCCACCTACCCCTGTGCAATCTGCTCCCCATATCCTGCTTCTCAGGCTTGCAGGCATTAGCTGGGAGCTAGGGCAGGCACACAGCACAAACTCTCCACCCCTCCCCCACCTCACCCCAGAACTACACAGCAAAAACTCACTCTCCACTTCCACCTCACCCAAATGTCAGCACCCACCCACCTCCCTTTACCCCCATCTTCCCCGTGTAGTCAGCTTTCTCAACCCCCACCAGCCTAGGAAGCTTGAAGAGAGTGCTGGGTTTCTACCTCTGCCTTGCTCTCCTGGTGCAGATAGGACTCTCTAAACTCCTCTCTGACTTTTTCCAGCCAATTACTCCCTCCTTATCTCTCCTCCCTACCTACTCTCTGAGCTCTTCCATTTGAAGCAGGCAGCTCAGTTTGAAGCTGCTCAGATGGCCTTTTCCCAAACTGGTCAGCTGAGCCCTGTGTTTGCTGGGAGCTCTGTGCCTCTGAGTGGACCTCAATAAATAGCTGTGCAGTCGCTATTAGGTTGTAAAGTCTCCTCTGTATTCTCCAGACTCAACAAATCCATGTATTGCAGCCTTCCCTGATAGGGTGTTTTGTAGCTTCTCTCTGTACTTTTCTAATTTGTCCCCTTTCTTGAAATGTGGCACCTAGAACTGGACACAGTACTGTAATTCAGGCCTTTTCAGCATATAGTAGAGCAAAATTACTTCTCTTGTCTTGCGTAAGACACTCCTAATACATCCTAGAATGATTTTTTTGCTTCCAACCTCCTAACTGTTATGCCATTGGATCATATTTAGCTTGTAATCCAATCCCGTTCCGTAGTTCTCCTTTCTAGGTAGCCATTTCTTATTTTTGCATGTATGCCATTCATTTTTCCTAAATGGAATAATTTGCATTTGTCCTTACAGAATTTCATCTTGTTTACCTTAGCCCATTTCTCCAGTTTGTCCAGATCATTTTGAATTTTAATCATGATGTCCAAAGCACTTACCCCTCTTCTCTCTCCCCCCACCCCCCAAGCTTGGTATCCTCCCCAAACTTTGTGTGTACTCTGTCATTAGTTATTGTCCACATCTGTATAAGCAGAAATGAGCTGCAGATATTTGCATCCACAGATGCAGATACCCATGGATATCCACGGGTATTTGCAGGGCTCTAATTGTTTAAGTTCTTTATGAAGATGTTGAACAGAACCAGACCCAGAACTGATCGCTGCAGGACCCTATGTAATATGCCCTTCCAGCATGACTGAGTCACTGATGGCTACTTTCTAGGAAAAGCTTTCCACCTACTTATACACACACCTTTACGGTTGCTCCTTCTGGGTTGTATTTTGCTAATGTGTTTGAGGCTGTCAAGCGAGACCGTTACATAAAAGTGTAACTTGTTTCATCTACCACATTCAGTTTTGAGTGCATGTGCTAGTCATGCAGACATCACTACGTTGATTAGGACAAGAAGCAGATAGTATCCTAGGATAATGTATTTTTGCAGCTCAGTTTTGGGTCATGACGAAAGGGTTGTGCAGGAAGCCCTGGGGGGTTAGGTCTTGAACTTGGGATGTTAAGTTCCTGCCTTCAGGGAGGAGCTTGCTGCATATGCCATACTCGCCTCAGAGCAGCTGCTCCTGTGACTTCAGTCCTGAGATACTGCCTGGGCTTGGCTTGGCTTGGCTTCTCTCAGTGCTGCTGAAGTTTGGCCCAGCTGTTCCTCTCATGATGGCTGGATGGAACCAGCCACACCAAATTTGAATGAGTGGCACTGCAACCTTATGTGCCAAGGCATAATACCACTCTACAAATGAATTCCAGCTTTTGCCCCATCCAGGGGCCTGGGCCTAACTTGAACGACACTGCTCTGGAGGTTGAAATCCCTGAAGCAGGGAGCCACACCTATCCAGTTCAGTTGGACAGGAGTTGAAAAAGTTGCCTCTAAGGGTGCACATGGTGTACTTATTTAGTATATATTTGTAGGGTTGTTAAAATGCGTTTAATCAGCCACATGAGTTGATGGAATTTCTGTTGACTAGTCAATAAGGGGGGAAACTGCAAAGCCGCACCTCTGCCTTTTAAATGTATTAAGAGTCGACTAGTCGCTTACATCCCTAATACTTAATGTGCATATTGTGATTAAGAAATATTTATTAAGCCAGATTTTTTTAATTAAAATGTTATTTACTGGGTCATGACAACAATCAAGATGTACAAGTGGGTCCTGAGCCTAAAACGACTGAGAACGGTTGTTGATTTCCTTTTATAAATGGCTCAGTGTGAAGCTTTAGTATAAGAAATGTTTTGGGCAATGCTGTTGGCTTTTTGGAGAACTTTAAATAACTGACATCTGAATGACAGGTCTGTTGATCAGAAAGTAAGGGGGAAGTGCAACTCTAATTTTATATACCATATAAAGTTAGTCTTCGTGTGTCTACAAGAGTATTTGGGAAGTATTGAATGCTTTCTGTAATCTTCTAAGGTTACATCCTTGCACGTGCACTAATGCATATCCAGAAGTCAGCTCATTACATACAATACTGTTCATCTTATCTTCTTCCTTTTAAGGTATTGTATCAAGGTCTGGCACCCTGACATACGAAGCTGTTCATCAGACGACGCAAGTTGGATTGGGGCAGTCCTTCTGTGTTGGTGGGTTTCTTCCACCAAACCTCTTTTATTAAAGACAGACAGGGCCAGTTAGTGTGTTAGAACCACAACACATTAGATGTTAGAAACTACTGAATAATATTAAATGCCTTTTAATTTTGGTTAGAATCGTTACACCTTTTTAACCAACCTGACTCAGGCACTTTGCAGCAATAACAGCTGCAATTCAACCCCTTTTTGATAACTAACTCTCTGTTCCGAGTTAATCAAAATCCAGGCCAAAGCAGTCTTTTATGAACAACTGTCAATATTCAGTGGTTTTAGTTTTATTTTAAGGCTCAACATACAAAATATATAGCTTCTTATTTTAGTCAACTTCTTGGGACAAATAGTCTGTTGGGTGTGAACAATTTAAACCATTTACATTATTGGAGAATGTAGCACATACTTGTAATTTCTATTTATAATGCAGATATACCGTCAGGCCCTATCTAGGACTGGGTCCAGTTGTAGTGGGTGCTCTACAAACAGGTCATTCCCTGCTTCAAAGAGATCATGCGTACATGGAATACAAATCAAGATATGGCGCTTAGCACAAACACAAAAAATGTTTTGGGAGATCAGAGCTGCTTTGAACATTTTATTTTTAAATTATATCACTCTTGGGGTATGTCAACCTTTGAACTGTTAGGTGTGATTCCTGCACTAGCTTTACCTGAGCTGATAACTTAAAAGAGCAGTGTGTGTCTCCATGGTGGTCCAGGCCAACTACCAGAGTACATATGCAGGGGCTCGGATGGGTTTGTTCTTGGGGTAGCTGGCCCAAGTGCCACTGCAGTGACACTATTTTTAGGTGCTAGCTTGAGCAGAGCACACATGGGTACACTTTCCCGAGCTGCAGATTGCACCAGCCAGCTCAAATGTAGATGTACCCTCTAGCCTTTAGATTGAGCTAACCTTTCAGTGTGTTAACATTTGTACATACAACATGAATTTCAAGCTTGCTAGTAACAGATTATCCTAGTCCTCCCTGGCTTGGAAGCACAGTGTGAGAATAAAGGTGGTGAAGACAATTGATTTTTCTCTGGGCTGGTAATGTCAGATTGCCTGCCTGAAATACTTTTGTCCATGGACTTTCTTCAGCACAGTGGCAAAGCAGACGTCCACAGACTGACAGTTTTAAGAATGCTCCTTGAACCAAACGAAGGGTGAACGGGAGTTGCCATTTCCATTACATTATTCCTTTTTGCAAAAACTGGCGCACAGAAATGTATATTGACCTAAATTTTTTAAAAGCTCCGGCTTTTGTGTATTGAGCTTCCAGATTTGGTGAGCTTTTCATCTTAATCAGTTTTCATTGTCCAAAAGCATCTTTTTTTTTTTTTAAAGTGAGATTATTAATGCAACTCAGTTACCTTCCCATAAAATCCTACAAAGTGGTTTTATGTTGATAGATGAGTTCACTATGCCTTCCACCTAAGGCTGATCTTGCCTAACTGCACTGATATAACAATTAAATGTGCCTTGCCTCTGCTTGAACAGTGAATTACCTTGCATAAGCCATCGGTTACACTATAAAAACATACCTTTCTTGGCAGTAAAGACATGGCCTTATTCATTTGCATCTACCGTTTGAAACATTTGCCACTACATGTTGGTGGGTTTTTTTTAAAACAGGTTTTGATGCAATTGACAAATAGATTGGGTTTAAGAGGATTCCAGCTCTACAACAGGCATGTTGTACGACCATGGACAAGTCAGTCTACCCGTGCCTTAGTTTCCCATCTGTAAAATGGGGTTAATTTTTTCTCCCCTCATGCACTCTTCATCTATTGTAAGAACCTGAGTCTGTGATTATCCAAGAGTATGTGTACAGTAGCTCAGATCTTCATTGGGGGCCCTCTAGTTGTCAGTGTAATTCAGATAATAGACTGAAATTAATTTGTCTTAGTAAACTTGAAAATGAATAACTCATGTTTGTGTTTAATTCCTTTCAGGGATTGGAGGAGATCCTTTCAATGGAACTAATTTTATTGACTGTCTTGATGTCTTCTTGAAGGATCCCCAAACAGAGGGGATAATATTGATTGGTGAAATTGGAGGCAATGATGAAGAAAATGCAGCAGCCTTCTTGAAGGAAAATAATTCTGTAAGCTTGAGAATGTCTGTGATGTGGAGGTGGGGGGTGGGGTGGCCACAGAAGACCCTATTAGACTGTTCCCCGCTGTGCTGATTATGCTACTGACACTTGCCTTTGTGCTGCTCCATCATTCTGTCCTGCTTGGCCAGATCTTCCCCAAGACAAGCCACAGAGCTGTGGTAGCACCTTTTCCTCCTGAAGGGTATTGCAGGAGGGGAACCACACTGCACCATATCAGCTCTTGGAGAAAGCGGTTTTAGGACACAGTGCCCAGGAAATCAACCCTCAAAAGGGATTAAACCCATGTCTTCGTATAAAATTTGTCTTTGTATAAAAGTGCCCCCCCCCCCCAGGAAGGTTCATTCAGGCAAGCCCCTTTATCAATGACAGAGGGATATGCATATTGATTTCCCCCCAGATAAGTTATTTACGTTGGGCTTGATAGTAAACAAAATTAAGTACAAACAGTAGGATTTAAATGGTTATAAGTGAAAACAGGCAAATCAAAGTAAGTCACATTAAAATGGAAAGAGAACACATAACCAGTTCTAATATACACTCACCCTAAAAGACTGTTCTTGTCCTAGCCATAGTTTTCAGATCAGATTCCTTTTACCTGATCCGGGTCCCCAGCTCTTCTTTTGCGCCAAAGACAAAAAGGACTCCTAGTTTTCCATTGTTTAATTATACTTTTCTATGGGTGGGAATCTTTTATTCTACATCCCACTTTCTGTAGAAAATTACCTGGTCAAAATGGTATCCCAGTAAAAGGTGGCATGGTTACATGTGTTCCTAAGTCCAGCCACTGCTTAGACTTCAAGGACAAACAAAGTTGCTTACAAGTTAAGTTGATCACTTAGTTGTTAGGCTTTGGGAGCATCGTTGATAGCTCTCAGCACATTTAAACAATCTCTTGATTTCATATTTCTAAGTTTACATTCACCAAAATAAGATCTATAGATCCAGCGTATTGTAACATTAAAATTGATAAGTTTACATGAGGTATTTTGTCCAAAGCATCTTTGGCTTATGTATATTAATAAGCCAGTTTCACGAATCATGGGGAGGGAACCGTCACCGTGCCATTCGTTCCAAAAACTATTGTTTACCATTGTAGAGAAACTAGTTCTTAATCAAGTAAAAGCCATTACTAGAAATTGTGGCAAATGCAGTTTAGGTTAGGATTTAAAGATCTGAGAGAAACTTTGGAACACAATTCTGCAGTGCTCTCTTCTAAAAGAAGAGCTTCATGTAGCTCAAAGCTTGTTTCTCACCAACAGAAATTGGTCCAATAAAAGAAGTTACCTTGTATGTTTTGTGTCTGATATCCTGGGAGCAAGATGGCTACAACACAGCTGATATTTTTGATTATTTTGTGACTCCATATGGCTGCTCTCTTCTCTCCCCCTCCCCCCCAACTCCCCGGCCCTCCTCATGAGTACGTGGCCAGAAGTGGTACGTCTTTCTTTTAACAGTGTTCTCTTTCTCCACAGGGTCCAAATGCCAAGCCAGTAGTGTCATTCATAGCTGGTCTGACAGCTCCTCCTGGCAGAAGAATGGGTCATGCTGGGGCAATCATTGCTGGAGGGAAAGGTGGTGCTAAAGAGAAAATAGCTGCTCTTCAAAATGCTGGTGTTGTTGTCAGTATGTCTCCTGCTCAGCTGGGTAGCACTATGCAAAAGGTTAGTTACGTGGACGTCATAAATGCTTTAAAATTATGGGCTTTAGCTAGCATAACCAGAAAAACAGATATCTGAAAGCTGCCTTTTTGCTTTTATCTGTGTGTTGCTGCTTCCCAGTGAACAGTTTAGAATACACTGCTTCCTCATTTGTCTATTGAAAAACTGCATCTTGACGTGTAATGGCTCTACTGTACAAAAACCACTATATGACAGTTGCAGTTGAAGTTTTTATTCATGCAAGTTGCTTTATGTATCATGTTCTCCTTTGTCAGAACCATGTAGCAAAACTCAGAGACTCATATTTGGCTCAGTAACAGACCAACACAACTCTTATTTTACAACTGCTCAGTGCCCTATGAACCTAAACTGATTCTAAATCAGAAAACACACTTCACTTTTTTGCACAATACAGATACTGGGTCACTTTGTAATAGTGAATGGACTGTAATATCTTTGTTCAGTTACCTGTTGATGCCCTTTTAAGAGAATTATTTTGACTTCAAAGGGACTACTTTGCATCCCTGGGCACATTCATGCAATTCATAAGTCACGTACCTCATACTGAAGTTCCTCCCTGATTTCTTCTTCTCTGGTGAATTTATAATTCTGGTGGAATCAACAGCCTTGAGTTGGAGCCTAGGGGCAATGTACAACTCATGGGGAGACTTAGGAGCCTACAAATGAAAGCCAACATGCTCAGTGAAGAGTTGCCAAAACTAGCCAGTAGGAAATGCTGAGACAAGAGGCAGGAATTTCCCCTATCCACTGAACTATGGGGTATTTTGCTGTGGGAGACTCATTCTCACCAGTTGGAGCTGTTCCTCTGTGTAGAAATTAAATATTAATTGGGCCAGAGAATGAGTCATTCTGTTCACCAGTGATTTGGACAATCACCTGAGAGATGGGAGACCCAAGTTGAAATGGCTTCTCCACATCAGGCATACTGGACAATTGAACTTAAATCTCCCGGATGAGTACTTGAAGCACAAAGCTGAAGGTTACAAGTGAGCAATCTCCCTCCCTGACTCTTAAGCATGCTCAGAACACCCCTTTTGGCTTGGGCCTTGCAGGTGAGAGGTGGGAGTGCTGTCACACATCCCCTCCACTCCAGCTGGGCTTAGGTATGAAACAGGAGTCTAGACTGATATGGCTGTGCTCATGCTCCGATTCAAATGTATGTTGGCTTTGGAGGGTGGGGGAAGTGGAATTTTTTCAAAAAGTTGAAACTGTTCATTTTGGCCTTTTTGGAATTTAACTAAAAATTTCACACTCTCATTTCAGACAGAATATTTTTAGATGTTTTTGATTCAGCCCCTGAACCAAAAAATCGATTAGTCTTAACCATTTCTAGTCATTTCTTTAGAGCTGAAATGCAACCTGCTCTTTGTGCAGTGCTGTTGAAAGAATTCACTGCAAGAATTGTTGACCGCAGCTAGAGATAAGTGTGTTGATGACAACATAATTGGATGAGGCTGAGTTAGTATGGTACAGGTTTCTCTCACTGGACTATTTTTTCCCCCCTACTGGGTCTGCCATGGATTCTTTTGGGGGTAAGAGATGAGGGGGAGAAACTTTGTTCCTGCTCCTGTGGAATGTCTCCCAATTTTAACTTGGTACTAAGACTTCCCTGTTGTGTCAGGCTTCTGATTGAAAATTGAGGCATGTTATCCATCTTACTAGCAGAGTGGGGAGTGAAGACTAGGAAATCTCTGTTTAATGACTATAACAAATGAACATATAGTTTGCTGTTACCATTGTTCTCCAAAACTTGGCAGCAAAATTCTGCAGTGTTTTTAATTCTAGAAATTGGCTTTACTTGCAGTAAAGGCAGGAGTGGAAATGTCTATAATAATATATATAAACTTTCCCATAAACATGAACTCTGGTTTGTTTGGCATGGGCAGATGCATTTAATTATAAAAGGAAGGTGAAAGATAGTCAATATTTTTACAGCATGATACTCTATTAAAAAGGTGTCAACATAAGCCAAGTTGCAATGTGAAAATGAGGATGAGTAAATCTGTAAATGGAAAGGTAAAGCCCTGTATCTGTTTTGGAGAAATTTTAAATGAACACAAACAAGGGTGGTCTGGAATAACTTTTAAGTGCCTGCATTTTGGTGTATTTTGTCTCTTTTAAAAAGATACTGAAGCTGTGAGCTTTTGGAAAACTCTTGTCACAACTGTATGTCTGTTTTTTCTCTCTGAAGGAGTTTGAGAAGAGGAAACTGCTGTAAAACTGCTGGAACATTGTCACAGAAATGTCAAGACAGCACCTTGCCTCTATCTGTCATACACTAAACTCCAGCTGCCTGAATGTGACTGACACTTGGTTTTGAATTTGACTTTAAAGCCACAATGTCTGTCCTAGAAGTGGTCACCTGTTTGTAATTAATAAATTTACCACTAAATTTGATTTTTGAATTCCTGAAGCTCAGTGACTTTTTTTTCCTCCTTGCAAGACAGCATTTTATTTTTTAAAGTAAATTTTAAAAATGAGAAACCAGCAGAACCCTATCTGGAAGCAATTGAGAGCATTTTTATAGCTTCTGCTTTACATACATGTTGCACTCGGAGTTAATGTAGCTTGTACAAAGATGCATTGAGTGGAGTAAGATATACCCGCTTTGCAAGCGTGCACATTTTGAAAACAAAGTAGTCTTACTTGCTGATTACTGACTAGTGAATAGTTTCTGAGCTAAGGCAAAAGTTAATGCCATCCACTGAATTACTGCTGTTGGATCCACAGGGTGTATTCTGCTCATCCTTGCACCTAGAAATGTTAGTATCCGTCCAAAGGTACTGATCAAAGCTGATAGCCCCACATTAGTGAGGGTTTTTTTTTATTTTGTGTAATTGCTGGGGGAAGCCTCAGAGCCTTTGTCTTCCTTTTTAATGACAAGGATTTCACTTGAAACAATTGTCCAGAGTGGCACAATGCCCCATAAATGCTTTAATTGATATTTCAGAGTTATATTTATGTTCATAAGAGTTTAAATCATAGTTTCCCATAAATACATTCATACTGTAACTTGGAAATTGAGTCTGTTTTCTGCTTATTACCTTAACTTTTCCTCTTTTATTCTTTGACAGATGGTCCTTTGCTTTGAATGTTTTGCTATATTGATGACAGTAGGACTTGATGCAGTAAAAAAAATCTGAAAACAAACCTGGCGGGGTTATATTTCTTGTAAATGATTAACAAGTGCTACATGTGAACATCCTATTGAACTGTAGGACTAGAGCAAATGGAGTGCCTGTAAAAGATTACAAATTATAAGAAAAGACTGAATTTAGGATTGTTTTCATTATAAACAAATAAAATCAGCTAGGGAAACCAGAATTAGTGTCTTATATAAAACTGGAAGATTTACCTGGCATTGCTCTGGTCCTTCAAGACAGGGGCTTGTGATGTGGGGGTTCAGTACTTGGGTTGTGGAGGGGTGCAGAGAGTGGGGAGGTGTGGGGAGCAGAGGGAGAGCAGAAGCGTACTTGCTTGCTGCTCCCTGAGGTCTTTCTGGTGTATAACTATCCCTGCTATCATAGCCCTCCCTCCCTTTGTTTGAAAAACAATTACATTCCATGCACATTCCATTGTCTTGGCACAACCAGACTCTGATAAATTATGATAAGGGTAGGCTGCATACCAAATTTGGTGGCCCTAGCTCTTTCCATTTATGAGGAGTCCTTGAACAGACTCATGGATGGACAGAAGCACAAACTCTCTCAAATATATAGTAGATACTTTTATTTATTTTTTAAAGATGTGACAACAATTCTGTTCCAAAGTCTCATATCCTTAATACTTAAAGCTGTAGTTGTGGCTTTCATCAGCCAGCTATGCAGTTTGTCTTGCTGGTCCGTGGTCAGTGGTGAACAGGTTTTCTAATGCCACTCTTTCAGGGCTAAGAAACCTCAGTCCTCTGACGCAATATGCACCTATTGCCCTGGTATTTACAAAGTGGGCTATTAGGTACAAATACAATCTCCATCTCAGTTTAGTTTAACATGAGTAACTTGACCAAAGACTAGGGTTACCAACCCTTCCAGTTGTGCCAGGATGTGATTCTGGGAGACTCCTGTCTCCCAGAGGCTACATAAGCCAAACCAGTAGATTTTGGGCACTACTGAGACAGGTAGACTGTAAGTGGCTTGCTTAGTGTCACATAAGGAAGCTGAAGCAGAGCTAGGGTTAGAGCCATAGCTTTCAGTCCTATTCAGTGGGCACAAGTCCTTCTCTCAGCAAAGGATCACCCATAATCTCAACCAAAGCCCACACTGACAATCCAATCATACCTTGCCCAGTCAGAGGCATTTAACCACCTCTGAAATATTCAATTCTGCTCTACATTGTGTTTAACTTTTCAGATAGAATTAGTGTTTCCAGAATGAGCTGCATTGATGGAGCTAGAGGATGAAGTCCTCGACTTAGCAACATCTCTCTCTCTCTCTCTCTCTCTCACATACTCACTCACAGGCAAGCCTGACCAAATCCTTATGGCAAATACTGATTGATTGCTTGAAAGACAGAGAATTTGGCCAGATTAAAGGAGAACATAAAACCTAACATGCATTAGAAATCATGCTGTAGGAAGTACGTGGTTTATTTCTGACTCTACTTGATTTAAATTCTGCTGCCTTCGATAAATACAAAATCAAGAGTTGGTCTGAGCTACAGTTTCTTCCAGGCCTTGAATGTCTCACAAAGTTGAAAGATGTGCTGCTCCAGGCAGTCAGCTCAATGCGTTAAAGAGAGAGGGCCAGTCATGAATTTAGGACTTTTGGAGCTGAGGTTTTGATTTGGACTCTTCTAGTTCTACCCCTCTCCCCACAAAAATAAAAGATAACAGACTTTGCAGTGACACTTACTCTATCTGTGTCCACGTATTCCTCCCGGAGGAATTCTGTGCCACAATTTAGGTCTTCTCCAGATCTTTTTTCCCTCTGCAGAAAATACATTCTGCTGGAGAGGCACTGCAGTTACACCTTTTGCCCATCAGGGGCTGCTGTGATACCAGATCAGAACATCAACAGTAGCATCCAGCAGCTGACAGGAGGAGAGGCTGAGTTCTTCAGGGTGCCATGCCTGGGTGATCAGGTGAGGAGGCACAGGGATGATTAAGGTAGATCTAATAAAAATATTATATAATATAAAATCACGACTGGTGTAAATTTTATTTACCCCCATTGTGTAACACAAGAACCAGCCATCAACCAATGACAATAGCAATAGATTTAAAGCCAACATGATGAAGTATTTCTTCACACAACACACAGTTAACCTGTGGAGCGTGTGGCCACGCGAAGTCAAAGATATAGCTGGGTTAAAAAAAAGAACTGATTAATTTCATGGAGGATATGTTCATCAGTGGCTCTTAGCTAAGATGGTCCGGGACAAAACCTCATGCTCTGGTTGTTCCAAAACCTCTGACTGCCAGAAGCTGGGACTGGACAATGCGCAAATTGTCCTATTTGGTTCACTCCCTTTGCCACAGCTATCACTGGTGACTGTCAGATAACAGGATCCTGGCTTAGCTAGACAAATGGTCTGATCCAGTATGGCTATTCCTGTTAGACTTGTTAATCGTAATTCCTTCACGATTCTTACTAGATATGCTGAGCTTGCAACCTATGCATGGTTTAATCCGGAACATCTGCTGAATAGGGGATGGCAATTACAGCTATAAAATTGAGAACGTGCCTGCCTCTTCACCAATAAGCTGTGAGCCTGCTGGATCAGTGACCCCTCGTTAATAGTTGAGTTGCCTTCAGTGGTGGTAGTGCTTCCCTACGGCCAATTGGCAACTGCCACTCAACTTGTGTGAGCTTCCACTCTATTGGAAGGTACAACATGCACGGTCATCCCACCTTTCCTGTAGGAAGTTGCCTACAACATGGAAGCCATTTGAGGAGCACAGGCTCCTATAGAAGATTTCACTAAAATCAATAGCAGTTATCCCCTGACAGAATGCTACCTCTGCTTCTGAAAATTGATGCCTTAGATTGCCCATGCTTTAACCACTGCAACACTTCACCATACGCTACTCATTAGCCATCCAGGCAGCAGAACAGCCTTTGCTAGCCAAGAGCTCTGCAATGCTTGCAGGCGTGAGGGGAGTAGAGCCTCACCTTGATATAAAGCTTAATTGGTGCAACTGCCTCTGAAGTGAGAGTATAACTGTTAACATATGTAAGTTGTCAGCTGTTGCTGCTGTTACTTTGCCTATGCAAATGTATTTAAAAAAAATTGTTTCAAGACTGGTGTTTAATGTTTCATGTGCTTTTGAATAAATACTTAAAAAAAGCTGGACTGGAAGCATTAGTCCCTCCCCTTCCCTTTTCTCCCTTCCCCAAACTGCAGTTACATTAGTTCTTCTCCCCCCCACTACTCCCATTTAAAAAAGGGCAAATGCCTTTGACCATGAAGTCTTTTTGCAGTTTGGTTCACTGATCTTCTGTTTCCTTGTAACTTAATTCTTGCTGATGGAACATGAGAGAATGTCTGTGTAATGACAAGTTAACTCTCAGACTTACTAAACGTGATCATTGTCCAACAGGACAAGTCTCCTAAATTTTAAGGGCCTGATTTTAGCTTACATTGAGGCTATAGAAGTCACTCCTGCCTCCTGAGGAGGAGCAATAGCAAGTGCTTCATTTCAATTTTTGTAAAAAAACACACACACACACACACTTCCTCCTTTGCTGAATTTATAAAAAATGACCACAGGTCTATTCTATATTCCCTCTTATTGAATGCTGTCTGCCCTTGGACGTGGTATGTCTTCTCACTGACACTAGTGTCTATGTCCATTGACTTCAGTTGAGTTGTTCCTAATTTATACTGTTGTAAGGAGAGAATAAGGCCCAGTGAGTGAATATTGTGTTTATACAAATCTGTGTATTAATTAAGCTGGCAATTTCCACATTAATTTTAAAAATACTTTTTTCTTGTGTGTGTTCTATATGGTTTGGCGTCAGCAATTTGCTTCTTTATGGTATATTCATGATATGAATAGTTTGACTAGTCTTTCTCTATTTAAAAGATGTTATAAATTAAAGACTCAATTTAAATACAATAAATTCCAGGAACAGTCAACACATCAGCTTCTATCAAATGGGTTAATTTGAAAATTGAATTTAATGACATCAGAGCATTAAAAACAATCTATAGGACTTTTAAAACTTTTTTTTTTTTAACCTGGAATTTGGGCCATCTTCACTTATTGTACTAGTGATGGAGAAAGCCTTGGTGAGTGTTTGATTAAGGTTACTTGCTTCCGCTATAACATCTGCAAGATATCTGTCAACATTTGATGGCTACCTTAAAGGCAAAAGTAGCTATTGAATATAACAATGTGATCTTATTGCTGTTCCACGTCTTGTTCATTATTAATAACTAGCCAATTAGCCCATCATCAAATAGGATTTTCAGGTCTTTCCTCCATGTCCTATTCCCTTTCTATCTCCATCTTCTCTCCTGAGTCTCTGGTCTCTCTCTCCCCTCCTCCTACTGCCTCTCTCTCTCTCTCTCAGCTGTCCTCCGTCTCCTGCCTCTCACTCTTTCTCTTCTCTTCCCCCTCCTGCATGGGGAGCGCGGAGCCCAAATGGCTGTTTGCGCTGCTTGCTCCCGTGTGGCAGCCCGGCTGAGCGGCTACTTATAAGCTCGAGCTGCCCCCCTGCACCATTTCCCTTCATCCCAGCAATGATCCTGCAGCTTCCTAGTTGTCCTCCCCCACGTTCCCCTGCTTTCCCTCCGGCCAGGGTCTGTTCATGGCCAGGGGGCGGGGCCCAGCCTCGTACATTACCGTCCTGCCCCCCTTTCGCTCCTGCCATGGATCTCGGTTGAGTTCTGCGCCGCTCAAACAGCTGCTTTCTCTGCTCGCTCCCCCACGGTGGCCCTGCTGAGTGGCGCAGAACTCAGCTGAGCGCCACGGCGGGAGGCAAAGGGGGGGGAGCGGGGCGGTGATGTACATGGCAGGGCCTCGCCCCCTGGCTGTGTACATCACTGCCCCGCCCCCTTTTGCCTCCCGCTGTGGCGCTCGGCTGACTTCTGCGCTGCTCAGCTGGGCTGCTGCAGGGGAGCAAGCGGCCGTTTGGGCCCCGTGCTCCTCATTCATCACCCCCGTGACGCAGAAGTCAGCCAAGCGCCACGGAGGGAGGCGAAGGACGTGACTCAGGCAACCGCTGCCCAGAGGGAACAGCCAGCATTTCAGCATTACAGAGTCTCAGACATTGGGCTACTATATATATGATGTCTTGTATTAAACTCAAATGTAAATTCCTGACAGCATTCATCACATTGAGGCCTCCAAGCCTGAATAGTGACTTCAGATGTTC